AGGGTCTATGCCCAAAACGTCAGCCTTCCTGCTCCTATGATGCTGCTTGGCCTGCTGTGTTCATCCAGCTCTACACCTTGTTATCTCAGGAATCTGGAAATGTCTGCTTGTAAGTGCGATAGAGGCAGAAACCCTCAGAACTTAAGAAATATTTAAATGTGCACTCAATGGCCAAGTGTTGGAAAATAAGATTAGAAGAGTTTGGTGGCTGTTTTTGACCAGCAAAGATGTGATGGGCCAAATAGCCTTTTTCTGTAAAGTGGATCTCTATGACTCTAATTTCTATACCCTTGAACTCATTGTAAACTCTGCTGCTTGTATCCTAACTTGTTACAAGTCTGATTAGTTTGACCTCTATAGTCCCTGACCTACAGTGGCTGCTAGGCTATCAACACTTCAACTGTAAAGTTCTCAACTGTAATTTAAATCTTTTCATGGTCTGACCCTTAGCTATCTCTGCAACCTCCTGTAGATCAACAAAATCCCATTTGTGCACTTTTAAGTCCAGGCTTCTTAGGAATCCTCACAATTTCCTTTGTTGATCACTGGTAGTTGTGCCTTCATCTGCAATTCTCCCTTGAACCTATCTACTTTCTTTCCTCCTTTAAGACACATTTGAAAACCTAGCTTTTTGATTAAATGTTTGGCCAATGTCCTAATATGTTTTGTGGCTCAATGTCACTTTTGTCCAAAATGTTCGTAAAGAAAATTGATAACAGTGTAGAACTCACGGATTAGCTAGACATCACATGATCTGACCTTACAATATTTTGTAAGAAATGAGAACAGGAGTAATCTATTCGCCATACCTAGACTGCTCCATCATTCAATAAGATTATGCCTAATCAGATTGTGACCTCAGCTTTCCTATCTAACTCCCACAATTCTCTCTTGCTGATCAAAATCTGTCTAACTCAGTCTTGAATAAATTAAACGTCCTAGCCACCACTACTCTCTGGAAGAGGATTCCTCCTCATCTCCATCTTAAATAGGAGTTCCCTTATCTTTAAACTGTGTCCTCTAGTTCTATATTCTCCTACAGCATTTCCCCTCAAGCATTCTCAAAATCTTATAGGTTTCAATACGACCACTTCTCATTCTTTTAAATTCCACTAAGTACAGAACAACTTGCTCAATCTTTCCTCAGAAGATTACAAATCATAAACATGATAGCTAGAAATGTTAAAATGCTAGAGCTGTATGGAAGAAGAAATGTTTTATTTTGGTTTTACAATTTCCCGGACTTCCTACTTCAGAGTGGGCTGACTCAAGAACCTCGCTGAGTATCAGAATTTTTTTCTCTCAAAAACTTTCTTGAGCGTTTTACATCTCCAAGCTGGAAGAAATAACTTGAGGTAGCGGAACTAAACCACAGGGCATACTGCAGGCTGGGATACAGACAGTTTTCTAAATTAGGAGGCGGGTCAAGTGCATAATGGAGTTCAATCGCTAGTTAGCAAATGAAATTTGTTAAAAAGTGCTCTTGGAACCAGAGGAACGAACACTTAAAAAGGACAGAGTTTATTTTTCTCTCAAATCCCAGCACATACTAATTTATGGAACTCGATGCTACTTGGTCCCAGTACCGGCTAAATTAAGTCTAAACTGCCACTTACCACTTCTTAGTAGTTCAGTATGAGCATCTTTTTGGTGGAGAAGCTCTACATCATAATTTGCAGAAGTGTTTGCATGTTGTTCTTCCTTTAAATGAAGGACAGTCAGAATGTAAAGGTAATATGTATTTGCTTACAGTCAATGTACAAAGTTATATATCTAAGCTGCAGTGAAGTGGCCACATAAATAAAATTCTTCTCCGACTTACACCTATCTTGTGGGGCCATTAAGATAGGCCAGTTTTGGCTTCAACGAAAGCATTTTTTTTTTTTTTTTTTTTAAGATCAGTGGAAGAGAATGTCTTAGTTTATCTGCAAATATGACAGAGTCTGGCTCAACAGTAGCACTACATCAGAACGCATTACCTTCAGGACCAGTCAATCCTTGAGTTCAGCTTATGCTTTGTACAACTGGCCTGAACACTAACATTCTGTTTGTTCTTTTCTGCACCTAAGCAAGCAAAAGTGATGTTATTCATCTTTAGCAACAAGATGACTAACATATTAGTTTTGTTTGTGTGTAAGCTTCTCTTCCCACTCCAATATCTTTATCTCTAGTGTTCCCAAGGATTTCTCCTTGGCCCCCTCACCCCTCCTATACATCATCCAAAAGCATGTTAGTTTCCACATGAACACCAATGATACCCAGTTCTACCTCACTACCACCTCTCAGCCCTCGCTCCACTACGTCAAAATTGTCAGTTTGCTCACCCAACATTTAGCACAGGATGAACAGCAACTTCTTCCAATTAAAAATCAGGAAGACTGAAGGCATTGCTTGCATTCCTCACCAACAAATGCACCCCTTGTTACTAACTCTGTCCACCTACCTTTCAAAACAGACTGTTCACAAGCCTCCCAACCACTTACCTGTGCCATCACAAAGACATATTTCCATTTCCAAAACACCACTTAACTACGCCCATTTTGTCTCATCTCATTGGCTACTGAGACACACATTCGTGCCTTTTCCACATTTAGAGTTGACTATCTCAACACACTCCTTGCTAGTCTCTCTCATTCGATCCTCCATAATCTAGAGGTCATACACAATTCTGTTGCCCATATCCTAGATCACACAAGTCTCATTAACCCATCACCTAGGCTCTCTGACATACAATGGCCCTCAAACAAGCATGTCTCAACTTTAAAACAGCCACCTTTGTTTTCAAACTAGCTGATGACCTCACACCTCCCCCGTACTATATCAGAGATATCAGAATTCTTCTAACACTGGCTTTTTGATTATCTCTGATTTTATTTGCTCTATCATTGATGGTCAAGCCTGGGCTCCAAGCTCTACAATACCTTCTGTAATCGTCTTTGCCTCTCTATTTTGCTGAAGCCGAAATTCTGTATCTGATCCAAATTCATTATAAGGCTCACATCATATTTTATTTCATAATGCTCCTCAGGATATTTTGTTAAGCGTGCTGTATACATACAAATTGCAGTCACGTGATTGCAAAATTCAGACAGTACAGAGAACTTACAAGAATAACACTGGTGTGAATTTCACTATGTTACTATAAATACTTCCATGACATTTGGTGTATTAGACAGTGCAACAACTTCAAAATTGCGAAACCACTTTGCAACCCTCAACAGAGTCCTATTGCTTCGCAGTATCAATTCTCATCTCTGTAGATGATAACTTTGAGAAGGTGACATGAAACAATGCATATCCAACCAAGATATTATGTGTATACAAAGGTTGAAACAATTAAGGTTTTATTTCCCCAACTCAGGTCAATGGACCAGAATGAGATCTTTATGTAAGTGATGCCATAGCTATTCAGATTTTGAACCAATTTCTAGTTTTCCTTCTCTCAGCATAACTCTCAATCACTGTTACTTTGTTGCATTTGAGCCATCAAGTCCATTCTTTTACAGAAACCAAAGAATGCCCATTTGTTTAATGAATGGCTCCACTATTCCTTGTATCTCTACCTCAGCTACAAGGCTATTCTAGGTATTAATCTCTCAAGAAAACATTTCTTGATATCAGTTCAGAGTCACAATGCCCATCCTCACTGGAGAGAAATCCGAGCCGCATTTAGATAGTAGTGGGAATAAACTGGGGAAACCCACTCACTGGCTAATCTTCCCTACGTACACCTGTTTCAGTGGAGAACGTGCACAGATCTCCCGTGCCTCCAGGTTGCCCACAGCAAATTTTTTATTAAATTCATTCCTGAGATGTGGGCACTAGCATTTATTGCCCATGCCTAAAGCCCAGAGTGCAATTAAGGGTCAGCCACATTGCTGTGGGCCTACAGTCACATGTAGTTTCCTTCCCTAAAGCACACAAGTGACCCAGATGGGCTTTGCCTGACAACTGTTTCAAGGTCACAATTGGACTGTTAATTCCAGATTTTTTTTATCTTTTAATTTGAACTCAAATCCACCATTTGTCATGGCGGGAATCAAACCTGGATCTCCAGAACAATCTCTGGATTGATACCAATGAGATTACCACCATTGCCTCCCCTCTCTGATAGAGGATATGAATATGGGGCTACAGAATGACAAGGATTGGAATCTGAATGTTGAGGCATATATGGCATTCAACAAAAATAGGAAGATAGGAAGGGAAATACAGAGGAGTACCATTGTTCAGTGAGAATGTCATTTGTGTGACAGTTAGAGATGACCTTGGTTCAGAAGATGAGGCTGTGGAATTGGTCTGGATTGAGATGAGGAATAGGAGGAGAAAATAAATGATTCATGAGAGTGGCATACAGGCCCCTCAGAAGTAACCACAATGTAGATAAAGTAGACAAGAAATATTGCATACTTGAGATAAAGGGATGGCAATAATTAAGGGTGATTTTAATCTACTGGAAAAATCACACAGGCAATGATAGCCTGAATGAAAAGCTCACAGAATGCTTTTGAAATAGTTTCTTAGAGCAGCACATATGAAACTGACTAGACTGCAAGTTATGTTAGATTTGGGTTTGTGTGATGGGACAATTAATGACTTCAGCGTGAAGGCATCCACAGGTAGCACTGACCGCAATATGATTGACCTTTATATCCAATTTGAAAGGGAGAAGATTGGGTCGAAGATTAGTATTCAAAACCTAAATAAGTGCAACTATGTGGACATGAAATTGAACTAGTTGAACTGAATTGGTATACTAGGCAAGGGGGTAGATCCACAGAGAAACAGGGACAGACATTTAAAAAAATATTTGGAGCACTGCATTCTTAAATATGTATATTCTTACTATAAGGAAAAATTCCTATCTATGTTTAACTGAAGTAGTTAAGGAGAGCATCAAACTTAAAAGAAAAACATGCAACTGCACAATGACAAATGACATGTCAGACAATTGGAATTTGAGCATGAAGGGGAGCGAGCTAGCAATGTTCAAATGAATAGTAAGTGTTTCTACTGTGATTTAAAGAGGAGAGCAAGTAAACTGAGTGTTGGTCCTATAGGGAGTTAATAGATAATAAGGAAATGGCAGAAGAAATGAACAAATATTTTACTTCCGTCTTCACTACAAAGTATACAAAAACATTCAAATAATAGCTATAAATCAGGAAGTGGAAAGGAGAATGAGAGATTAGTGAGATTTCAAATCACTAGGGAAGTGGAACTGAGCAGACTGCTGAAGCTGCAGGCTGCCAAGTCTCTGGGATCAGATAGATTTCATTTTAGGGTCCTAACAGAGGTGGCTAATTTTCCAAAACTTGTTGGTTTCTGGAAAGTAGCAAATGTAACTCCTCCATTTAAGGGAGGGAAACAGGAAACAGAAAACTAAAGGCTAGTTAGCTTGACATCTGATTTTAGCACATTTCCCATGACAAACCATAAAGAAGATTAAAGCTGGACACTTAGAAATATTCCAAGCAATCAGGAAGAACCAGCAATCTTTTTGTGAAAGTGAAACCATGTTTAACCAAATTATTATAGTTCTTTGAGGCAGCAAGAGCTCTAGTCATGCTCTATTTGGATTTTTAGAAGGCATTTGACAAAATGCCACCTAAATTGGGGTGAACATGCTAGTAAGGAAAGATGATTGGCTGGTTGGCAAGAGCCAAGAGTGTACACAAATGGGTCTTTATCTGATCATTGCAAGGGGACCCCAACAGGGCTCTGCTTTTTATAAATTATATCAAGAAAGTCTTGATGACTTGGATTAGGGACTCAAAGATGATGGCTAAACTTGCAGATGACACAAAGATAGGCAGCAAAATATACTGTGAAGAGGATGTAAGGAAGCTGCAGACTGATACAGGCAGATTGAGTGAGTGAGTTAATATCTAGCAGATGTAGTATAAAGTGAGAAAACATTATTCACTGTGGTAGAAAGAATAAAATGCAGAGTACTAGACAAATGGAGCATGCAACGCAGAGTGATCTAGGTGCTTGAGTGCATGAGTCACAAAAAATTAGCATGCAGATACAGTGAGCAATTAAGGTGGTTAATGGAATGTTATCCATTATTACAAGAGGGATTGACCATAAAATGAAGAATTTGTGCCCCAGTTACACACAGCACAGGAGAGACCACATCTTGAATGTGGTGTGTAGTTTTAGTTTTCTTAAATAAGGATGCAAATGTATTAGAGGAGGTTCACTGGATTGATACCTGGAATAAGCAGATTGTCTTATGGATATGAGGTGGACAGGCTGGGCTTGTTTTGATTGGAGTTTAGAAATGTGACCGTGACCAGATTGAAGTTTAGAAGATTCTAATGGTCCTGGGGCACTGTTTAAAAATGAGGATCGCCCTCAGAGGACAGGGATATAGAGACTGCTTTCCTCTCAGAGGGTTGTGCAACTTTGGAACTCTCTGCCTCAGAACACAACAGAGCCAGGGTCAACGAACATTCCTAAGGGGGAGGTAAATCGATTCTTCTTAAGTAAGAGTGGTAGATAGGTAGGAGTTCAAAACACAAACAGATTAGCCATGATCTTACTGAATGGTGGAGCAAATTCAAGGGCCTGAATGGCCTATTTCAGATGCTTGCGCGTATGTTCATTTATGTTGTTTTTGTCAGCATTCCTAATTGAACTGAGTGGCTTGCTGGACCACGGAAGAGGGCAGTTACGAGTCTTTCACATTGCTGTGGTTCTGGAGTCGCTTGTAGATCAAACAGGTAAGGATGACGGATTTCCTCCCCTAAAGGACATTAGTGGACCATTGGCAGCTCCACAGCTACCTCATCAGCTCATTCAGCACCATTTGCAAATACAACAAAACTGTTGGGTCCAAAGATGATTCTTTTTAATAAAACAAAATATTGCAGATGCCAAATCTGAAATAAAATCCATGATGAAATGTTAACAACAAAATGTTAACCTCCATTTCTCTGTCCAATGTTGCCAGACTTAAATATTTGCAGCATTTTCTGTCCTGAAGTCCAGACTGCAAGTTTAACAGGTTTTGAATTTATTTTAAAATACATTAATCTGTATTTTTCACTAACTTTGCCTTTCCTTTTAGGCCAACACATTGATGATAGGGAAGGAAAAATCCCAATTCCTCTTTCCCACACTTAAAGCCATGTATTTCGATTGGATTATCATGCCATCTTGTGGCTGCATTTCACCAGTTAGCTTGATAGTGTGGTCAAATACATCAGGGAGGAGTAGTGGCACAAGTTAATCCAGTAAAATACTTAACACAATTAAGACTCAAAGTTGTTCTTGTAATCATACTGTACATTGAACATCAAAATCAAGAAACACTGAACCTCACACCATCTTAACAATGCAGATAACCATCTATCAATGAATATTATTATTGGTAATTTAATAAAATATATTCTCCCCATACCCAGTCCCAGCATGTAGAAAGCTTTCAATAATGAACAGATTGCAGCAGGTACATTATCACTGCATGCCACACAAATACGATACAGGGTAATACATATAAAACATATAATGGGAGGAACAGTACAGACATAGGGTAGCAGTCTTAGCGACATTATCATACAAAGGATCATAAAGTAATGTTACAAGAGCAGACAGTTTGAGTGTGACTGCAAAATTGAAAAGGAAAACTATCCAACCAAAAAGAAAGATTATATTGCACACCGCCACGTGTTACATGCAATATAACCTATTGATCAGTTTTCATGATCTAATGTTCTATTTTAAAATCAAATTTACTAACCTGTTCACTGACACTGAATGTAGGCTAGCAAACAGAAATATGATGTGGAGAGAAAATAATTTGAAAATTACTTTGAAAAATGTTAATTTTCACAAACTGAAAATAAGAACTAAAAAACAATTAGATGCTGCACTCTACTTGAAATAGACAGATTTGAGGGAAAAGACGCACCTTCATGGGTATATTAGTAATAGTAGTGGAGGCAAGGTCAAAGTGTTGCTGGACAAGGGAAGTGAGCTTTGCAGGTAATTGTCTTCCTGCACGGACACTGTGTACTTCACTCGTTAAAGCCAAAGAGATCTGCAAAACAAAAACAAAATTTAAACGGTGACCAAAAACATTTGACAACAAAGTTAAATGTGTGTTGAATTAACGCTGTTGTTACAAAACACCAATATGATATATTCACTACTTCTACATTCAAGACAAAGTAGAACATTGATCCCAAATATATAAAGTTACAACAAAATTAGGTTGTTTGTCTAAATGGGAATAATTTCAAAATAATTCTCGTTTATTTAGCCTTTTTAACATAATAAAAAATCTTGAGGTGCTTCCATTTAAAATTATTATACAAAATTCAACATTGAGCCAGGGAGGAGATATCAGGACAGCTGACTAATAGCTGGTCAGTGAGGTAGATTTTAAGGAGCATCTTAAAAGGAGAAAGAGATTGAGAAGTTTGGGTAGAAAATTCTGAAGTCGGGGCTAGATTTTAAAATAGTTCATTACCATGATTAAATTTCCTCTAATTGAAGTCAACAGAAGGGAAAGGAAAAAAAGAAATCATCACAACATGCATAATAGAAAGCTAACTCAATGCCAGCTATCTTACACCAATTGACAAATGCTAAATTATTCCCATTATTGTCAACTCCCTTAATCAACCCAAACTTTGAGGAAATTCAGCTTTGAGCTTTCTGAAGTTATTAGGTGGAGCTGTATAGTTCTCTGCGAATGCTGCATTTTGGCGACACTAATAAAGCCAGCAAACTCCACAGTTCAACAGAAGTTCTCAATCTAGTTTGCTTTAAAAAGCTAACTACTTCAAAAAGAAAAATCAGGTAACGCACTTTTTGCAACAATTAAAAGGGCACAAGGACGGAAGAAATGTTTTTTTGTTCAAATGAGCTTCATTTTCGGAATCTTATATAAAAGCAATATGATTGGCTCCAGCACTAAAATCTGTGACCACATCTAAATAATTCAGTGCATTTTAATAAAATAATCCCTGAAAATATCATTTTACTTATCACCTATTTTAAATGGTAATGCTACAAAACTCAATAGAAAACAATGAATGGTGCATAGCTCAACTTTGAGGTCATTTAGTGCTTGTGAACAAAACAGGTTTGTAAATATACAGCTTTTACTTTTTGTTATATTACTGCATCATATTAATTATATACTCATTTTAATTAAGCACATCAACTTCAGCTCCTTCAATTTTTAGTAATGTTCATGGCATTGGTTTCTCTTTACTAAAAGACTCAAGCTGCAGGTACATGACACTGCCATCAAGTCCATGAAGTGCCACAGACTGCTACTTACAGCCTTTAAAAAGCTGATTTTTGCCATAAACTGTGATTCAGACACCAGTGAGGGATCTGAACAAACATGCTTACCTACACAAACAGAGTACCATTTTCTGTCACACTTTTTTTTTGAAAAGGGCAGGAGCAGCTGTTTTGTCAAAATGCTGAAACCAAATCCTGCTTTGCTTCAGATAACACAAAGGACAATGTAGTATCAAGCCTAAATGTCCTGAAATACCTGCCTTTCATTACTTTATCTTTGTGTCCAACAATATCACGAATATGTTGTCCTATGCACATCGTTAGAATAACAGCCACTTTGCAATGATTCAGAGCATTGCAGATACAACTTGTCCCCACAGTCAAAAGTTTTTAAAGTAAATAGGGCTCACATCTTTCCTTGGACGATCTGAAACTAGGCTGTCTTCACCCGCAGTGTAGGTGTGAATTAAGACCAGTTCACAATGTTGAATTTGCATCAGGCTGAAAGGAAAGAATAAATATTTAGTTATACATCTACACCTAATGTAAACTGATAGCTGTCCAACATATTTCTCACTGAATTAACAAGAAGCTAATTTGCCACACTTGTCCTTGACTTTTATAAATAAGCATTAGATGTTTTAAAACCTAGGTCTTTTCATTTCAACAAAAATATTCCATGCTTAGTAGTAAAGTCGGTAGACTTTTAAGACGAGGTTGCTATTCAAAACCATCTGTTTTGAACAAAGCTGCCACAAACAAACTTGTAAATGACCAACTAAGAACAGTCGTCATTTGACATTACTTCCCAAGTTGGCCTATCTTCAATCAAAAATAAAGAGAATGTCCAAAGAAAGCTAGTTAAAACAATACTGAATTACAATAAAAAAAACAGCCAAAGCAAGGGACAAAAACAGAAATTGGAGAAACTCAGCAGGTCTGGCAGCATCTGTGGGAAGAAAGCACAGTTAATGTTCCAAGTCTGGTGACTCTTCATCAGACAGCAAGGATTTTAACCAATGGCACACTTCACTGACATGAAAGAGAGCAGATTAATCAGAATGCTGAATATCTAGAAAATTGCACTTTGTTGACTGTGAAAAACTATCCTTCTAAAAGGACAACACTCAGGAACCACAGATATGAATAATGTTCAAGTACATTCTTCGCATTGAAGAGCAGGCCTAAACTTACTTATCAGAACTAGCTGCTAACTTGTTATGCTCATGGATTGTCTCTTGGACACAGTCTTCCAACATTCGCACATGGCTGTCACTGCAAAGCAGATTTAGAACAGAGAATTAGAAGAGGATCAGAACAAACTCGGCAAAATCAGTTCAGAGTTCACGGTGTACAGTGACCACAATATAGAAATCATAAACTAAAAACTTAAAGCAATCTTGCCAACTAACAGTATCCGATTAATTATAAGTAACACATTCGCAGTATAAGAAACAAGAAGTTTTTTTAAAAAAATTAATCTTAACAGATCCACATGTTTTCTGGTTTCAATCCAGAGTTCCAACAGCATCATCTAGACTTGCACCTCCAAACTGATAACATGAGCTCACATTACATAGCAACTTTAATAGAGTAACTGCAAAACAGGATTTGGAGCAGGGACTGACTGAAAAACAAGTCCTTCATTTTTTCTTTCCCAGTATTTAAAGAGAGAATTGCTTTTCGTCTGGTATTAAATATTGGATAAACTTGATAATTTCATTCAAAGTGGTAGCATCTAGAGGTGCGATGTTGAGATATAGCTGGGTGCTGTCAGTGCACTTGTGAAAATTAACAGTGTGCTTTCAAAGTCCACCCGGGGGAGGATAGGATATAGGATGGTGATCACAGCTTACTGGGGGACAACAGAGGTAAAGGAGAGAATGTGGAAATATAATCCATTGCAAGCAATATTCGGGCTAGGGAACAGATAAAAACAGAATCAAGTGAGCGCAATCGCAGCAAATGACAATACCGGAGTAGTGAAGAAATAGGATGGCTTGGTGAACGATGTCAAAGGCTGCAAACAAGTCAAGCAGTACGAGGAGAAAACAATATCCTTTGGCTATCACATAAGATGGGAGGTGATTGCCTGGTAGTATTATCACTTGACTATTAACCCAGAAACTCAGCTAACGTTCTAGGGACTTGGGTTCAAATCCTGCCATGCATTCGATTTTTTAAAAAAATCTGGAATTAAGGGTCTAATGATGACCATGAAATCATTGTTGATTGTCAGGAAATCCCACCTGGATTCACAGATTTCCTTCCCTAAAGGACAGTAGTCGTCCTCACCTGCTCTAGTCTACATGACTCCAGACCCACAGCAATGTGGTTGATTCTTTACTGCCCTCTGGGCAATTGGGGATGGGCAATAAATGCTAGCCAAACCAGAGGTGCCCTCATCCTGGGGGTGAATAAGGAAAAAATGTAATTTGTGATTTTGATAGGTGTTTTACTCATTGGTGGGTGGAAACTTCATTGGAGGAATTCAAACAGGGCATTCTTGGAAAAATGGGCACAGATTTGGGAGGCAACATGTTCAAGAACTTTGGAGAGAGTTCAAGAGATAGGATGGTAAACTGCAAGATTTTCTTATTGATGCAGCGGGTGATGGCTGCAGATTTAAAATCAATCTGTGCAATAAGGGAAAGTCAAGACAAAATCAATCTGAAACAAGCTTAGTTTGATAAAAGATGCCAAACTTTGTACTCAGATCAGAATCTGCTTTCAAATTAATGAAAGAATTTTCTGCATCGAAAGAGAAAAATTATGAGTTTTGATCAGAAATTAAGATCAATCATTTTAATGCAATTCAAGTTATCAATTTAATAGATGTCAACAAAAAATATTTGCTCAAATGATTGGGCAAGAATTATTGCGAATGTTGCAGAGAATACCGAAGCAGCACACCTTTTGGCATTAGTTATACAGATGATACGACCCCGATTGCTGACACGGTCTGCATTCTCCATTAATGTGGTCCGGGCTTCGTGCTGATAATCGGTACATTTGCACAGGACCTCCACTGCTTCAACTAAGCCATGCAGCACACTGCAACACTCCGGGTCCATGCGTGGGTTGGGAGGCCCGACAGCTGCTAAGGCTGCCATCAACTGTTACAGAAAATATGATCCATTATCGTTGTTGCAATAGAAAAACTCCGGTGAATTAAGATGTTTACATGGAGTTAATCACGATGGCTATTTCAGAAAAATGAGAAATTCTGAAACCAAGTTATAAAATCATAAAATACAGCACAAAGGAAGGCTATTCAGCCCATTATGCCAACGGCAGAGCTATCAGTTATGTCTTCTCCCATTTTTTTAAATTCAATTCTCTTTCCAAACCTACTAGATAAAATAAATACTTCATGACATTTGGTTTCTTCTGTCAATTATATCAAATCCTGATGATGCAGTTTCTCGTATACTCTATCAAAACCACTCACGCTTTTGAATACCTCTAAAAGATCTCTTCTTATCCTTTACTCTAAAGGAGGACAATGCCAGTTTCTCCAGTCTCTCCTTGTAACTGAAGACCCTCATCTCTAGTGCCATTCTGGGCAATCTCTTCTTACTGCTTCTAAGGCTTCAACATTCTTCCTGAAGTGTGGTGCTAGAACTGGCAACCAAACACCACCTGGGACCTAAAGCAGAGTTTTAAGATTTAGCAGAATTTTGTCTTAAAACTGTCTTTTAGAAAAGAAAAATCACATACTTTTTTTTAAAGAACTAAACATCCATCTCAACTCGCCCAACCATATTGAATGACTTCACATGCACCCTGGGTCTTGCTGCTTCTACACTTCCTTCAAAAAATCATATCATTCAGTTTATGCTTCACATCAATTACCTCTTCAGCAGCGCTGATTATTTCCAACTTTGCTCGGTTTCATTTCAGATTTCCAGCGTACACACTAATCTGCTTTTTCATTTAGTTGATATCCCCTCTCCTTTTGTCCAAATTCCATTACTTCATGCTTCGCTGTATTAAATTTAATCTGCTCTATGTTTGACCATTTCACCAGGCCACCTATGGCCTCCTGAAAGCCATTCCTGTCCTCTTCATTGTTCATTACATGTTCAAGTTTCTTATTATTACAAACTTTAAAATTTTGCCCTGCACACATCAAAATAGTGCAGGGGTCCTGTACCAACCTTGGAGACCACCACTGCATATTAACAAATAAACAACTCTTCACCATTATGCTCTTTTCTCCCTTAGCCAACTTCAGACCCACACAAATTACTGTCCCCATAATTTGTAACATTTATTATGTGCTACATCAGTGGGCTTAAAGTCCATATAAATAACAAGTGCATGGAAACCATCTTTGTTACTCCATTGAACCCTATCATGTCAGTAAAACATGATACATCCAAACGTCAATTAATTTCATCTGTAATAGTCTCAAAATTTCCCCATGTTAAGACAATGGTGTATCCTTCTCCTGTTTATTAAAACATGCTGAATACAGCACTGTAACTATTGTTCTGATCTTGGGAGAGATCATAAACAGTTTGTCTTTGGAAAGTAGCAAAAATTCAAAATCCCAGTTATTTACTAAAAGAATCAAGTCACAAGAATTCACAGTTTAAACCACAAGAATTTTCATGAGACAAAAATCAAAGTAAACACTACATTTTATCTTATACTTTGACATTCAAAATTAATAATATGAATTAGAAGGCAAATTGTGGTCAAACATAAATGATAAATTGCACATTAAATGGCAGATATAACAAATATGGATTATATGAATCAGCTATGCAGTACACAAGATTTCCACAATCATCTTCAGTTACAAAGTCCTTTCTCATGAGGGATTTCAGCTCCTGTCCTCTAGCAGCAAGTCTGATATCCAACTCTCAATAGCACGCAATTCACCAGATTTCCGTGGGCAGTCTTCACTACTAACAGCACACATCTACAGAACAGGACAGCAGCAGCAACTTATACTCAACTTCTGGATCTAGTTTCTTTCAAAATCCCAAAATGAGCGAAGGTTTTTTCACAATAGAATGCTTGATGTAGAAAACAGATTTACCAGAAAGAAAGCTCCACCTAATTGTACTGTGCTAAAATACAATTACTGCAACGAATGTTAATTCCAGAAACCATCTTCTACAATTTAACCACAAACTCGAATGGCTTGACGAGCACCCCACCTACCACCTTAAGTGTTCATTTCGCCCTCAATACTAGGGCAGGGACATTTGCCAAAGCTCCTTCAAAAGCACCTTCCAAACCAGTGACTTTTACTACTGAGATGGTCAAGGAGAGCAAACACATGGCAGCAAAATAGCCCCCAAGTCGCACATCACCCTGACTTTGAACAGTATCATCATTCCTTCACTGTCTTTCCAAGACCCTAAGACACAAGTGCAGAAATTTCAGCTCAGCAAGTCTGCTCCACCATTCAATGAAATCACAGATAATCTAATAAACCTCAACTCCACTTTCCTCAACTCCACATTCCTGTCTTTGCCCCATTACCCTTGATTCCCTTACTAATTAAAAACCAATGCAGCCTCGAATACACTTAAACTGGCCTCTGCAGCCCTCTATAGTAGAGAACTTCACAGATTCGCTAATTCCTCCTCACCTGGTCCTTAATGGGTAACACCTTACTCTGACATTCTGGTCTTAGACTCTCCCACAAGGGGAAAATAACTGCTCCGCAGCTACCCTGTCAAGGCCTCAGAAGAATCTTGTATGCTTCAATAACGTTGGTTCTAATTCTTCTGATCTCCCACAACTACAACCTCTCATTATAAAAAGCTCCCTCTATACCTAGAATCAACCTAGTAAACTTTTTGTGGACTGCCTCCACTGCCAGTATATTTTTCCCCTAGATAAGGGAACTAAAACAGTTTACAGTATTCCTGGTGTGGTCTGACTAGAGCCTCATATCTCCTTTGAAATAAAAGCCAACAGCCTTTTCTTCCTTTTTATCCGTTAAACTTGGATTCATGCATGAAGACCCCAAAACCCTCTCTGCTGAAGTTTTCTGCAGTCTCTCTCCATTTAAATAATATTCAACTCTTCTACTTTTCCTGCCACAGCTCATAACATTTTCCTCACATCGTATACCATCTGACAAGTTTCTGCCCATTCACTTAACACGTCTGTATCTCTCTGTAAAATCAGTGAGTCATCCTCTCTACTTGTCTTCCCACCCATTTTCCCTTGGGTATAATTCCTGCAGTTGCTGACCTTACCATGAAGGTGACTCCTCCTTAACCTCACCCCTTGCCTGAGGTATGGTGATCCTCAGGTTAAACCACCACCACTCGTCTCTCTAATGAGAAAGCAGGTCTATGGTCTGAAAAGACTATGGCAACTTTATAGTCTTTTTAGAATCATAGAATCCTACAGCACGGAGACTGGCCCTTTGGCCCAAACTGGTCCATGCTGACCAAAATGTCCACCCACGCTAACCCCATTTCCCTGCACTTGGCCCATATCCTTCTAAACCTTTCTTATCCATGTATTTGTCCAAATGCATTTTAAACATTGTTAATGTACCTGCCTCAACCACTTCCACCAGTAGCTCATTCCATATGGATACCACCCTCTGTGTAAACAAGTTTCTCCTCAGGTTCCCATTTATTCTGTCCCCTTTACCTTAAGCTGATGCCCTCTAGTCCTCAATTCCCCAACACTGGGAAAAAGACTGAGTGCATTTACCCTAACCATTGCCTCTCCGGATCTTATACACTTCTATAAGATACCCCCTCAGTCTCCTAAGCTGTAAAGAAAAACGTCCTAGCTTGTCCAACCTCTCCCTATAACTCAGTCCCTCGAGTCCTGGCAACTCCTTGTAAATTTCTTCTGCACTCTCTTCAGTTTAATAACATCCTTCCTATAGCAAGGTGACCAAAACTGAAAACAATATTCCAAGCGCGGCCTCACTGATGTCCTGTACAACTGCAACACAACTTCCCAACTTCTGTACTCAATGCCCTTACTGATGAAGGCCAGTGTGCCAAAAGCCTTCTTCACTGTGCCTACCAATGTCTCCACTTTCAGAGAACCGTGCACCTAAACTCCAAGGTCCCTCTGTTCGACTACACTCCTTAAGGCCCTACACTTCACCATAAAACTCCTACCTTGATTTGACTTTCCAAAATGCACCACCTCATTATTATTTATATTAAACTCTATTTGCCATTTCTTGGCCCACTTCCCCAGCTGATCAAAATCCTGCTGCAATCTCTGATAACCTTCCTCACTGCCCACGATACCGCCTACTTTGGTGTCATCTGCAAACTTACTAATCATGCCTTGTACATTCTCATCCACATCACTGATATAGATAACAAACAGCAATGGGCCCAGCACTAACCTCCGAGGCACACCACAAGTCACAGGTTTCCAGTCCAAAAACAATCCTTCTACTTTTAACCTCGGCTTCCAACCATCAAGCCAATTGTGTATCCAATTTGCCAGCTCTCCTTGGATTCCATGTAATCTAGCCTACTATGTGGAACCTTATCAAAGGCCTTACTGAAATCCATATAGACTACCAACCTGCCCTCATCAACCTTCCTTGTCACTTCAAAGAACTTTATCAAATTTGTGACGCATGATCTCCCACACACAAAGTCATGCAGACTACTCCTAATCAAACCCGGTTTTTCCAAATGCATGTATATTTTATCCTTCAGAATCTTAAGTACCTTAGCTACCAACGATGTTAAGCTTATTGGTCTATAATTCCCAGGTTTTTCTTTGCAGCCCTTCTTGAATAAGGGCACAACATTCGCTACCCTCCAGTCTTCTGGGATCTCACCCTGGCTAACAACGATGCAAATATATCAGCCAGGGCCCCCGCAATTTCTTCTCTAGCCTCTTGCAGAGTTCTTGGATATATCTGGTCAGGATCAGGAGATTTATCCACCTTCATACATTGTGATACGTCCAATACCTCCTCTGCTGTGATATTAATTGTCCCCAAGATATCACCATTAACTTTACCCAAGTTCCCAAGTCTTCATGCCTTTCTCCACAGTAAACACAAAGGAGAAACATTCATTGAGGACCTCGCCCATCTCCTGTAGTTCCACACATACATGTCCACTTTGTTCCACAAGGGGTCCTATTCTCTCTCTAGTTATTCTTTTTCCTTTAATATACTTAAAGAATCTCTTTAGATTCACCCTAATCTTCTCAGCCAAGGCTATCTTATGCCCCCTTTTGCCCTCCTGATTTCCTTCTTCAGTAAACTCCTGTATCCCCTGTATATCTCCAGAGATTCCCTTGATCCCAGCTGCCTGTACCTGAGCCATGCCTCTTCCTTTTTTCTGGTCACAGCGTCAATATCTCGTCATCCAGAGTTCCCTACTCCTGCCAACCTTGCACTTCACCCTCACAGAAATATACAGATCTTGAAGTCTAGCTATCACACTTTTAAAGGCCTCCTACTTGCCAGATGTCCCTTTGCCTGCAAACAAACTACTCCAATCAACTCCTGCAAGCTCCTGTCTAATTCCATCAAAATTCACCTTGCCACAATTTAGAACATGAACCTGTGGACCAGTTGTCTGTCTCCATAACTACTTTAAAATTAATAGGTCACTATGGTCACTCACCCCAAGGTGCTCCCCCACTGTCACCTCAATCACTTGCCCTGCCCTATTTCCCAAGAGTAGGTGCAAGTCCTGCCCCTTCCCGAGTAAGAGCCTCTATATACTGTTTGAGGAAATTTTCCTAAACACACTGAACAAATTCCACACCATCCAAGTCCTTAACACTATGGCAGTCCCAGTCTATCTTAAGAAAATTAAAAATCCCCTACTATGACAAGCCTATTACTCTGCAAGACTCCCCAGTCTCCCTGCATATTTGTTCCTCTAATTCCTGTTGACTATTTGAGGCCTTTTTACCTAATAGAAATGGGATTTATTTTAGTTCTAATCAATAATGTGCAGGAATTGTTTCAGTCAACATTTATATTACGCTTAATTTGGAATATTTTTCTTTTATTCATTCATTGAATGAGTGTGTCATCGGAAAGGCCACCATTTTTGCCTAACCCTAAGTGCCCCAGAGAAGGTGGCAGTGAGTGTTTACATGGATTTTAAAGGTTCAAGAAGTGTCGGTACACTCATGGTGCTATCAGGAAGGGGATGCTAGGTTCTTAACCCAGGTACAGTGAAGGAATGGTGATATACATTAACTCCAAATCAGGAGAGGGCATGGTTTAAAGTGAAATTTGTTGTTGGTGGTAACGTTCTCATGAATGTGCTGCTCTTGGCAGTAGAGGTCCTGGGTTTTGAAGGTGGTTTTGAGTCATGATGATGCATTTTCTAGATGATATACACTGAGGCCATTGTGCATCAGTGGTGAAGAACATGCATGTGTAGAAGACGGTAGATGGGGTGCTGATCAAGCAAACTACTTTGCATTGAATGGTATGAAGCTTCTGATTGTTATGGGAGCTGCCCTCATCCAGGTGAGAATACCCATCATACTCCTTACGTCGCTCTTTTGGACGGTGCGCAGGCTTCCTAACCAATCACTTCAGAGATGTCACGCCTCTGGGGCAGGTGGGATTTGAATCCAAAGATAGGGACACCACTACTGCACCACATGAATCTTTCATTGCCACTTCTGACCTGTATCTTTTGTTGTAAACCCAGAAGAGTTTTTGGGGTGAACAACTAACTGTAATCATGCAAAATAGAAAGATTCACTGATACAATTGCAGGCGATGGTAAATTTTGGGTCAGGTCAATGCAAGTTTTATTCTGCATCTAGATGTACAATAATCAAGCTGAAACTGTTTGATGCAAATATAGTGACAATATTGGGCCAATTGAGCAGTTGAATCACTAATTTCTATTCCCCACCTGGCAAAGAGACTATGAGAAGTAGGTGACAGAATTAAAGAGGGCACTCCCAGGAGATCATGTTCACCAGCATTTGAGTTACTTGCAACACACACTCCGCATGTGCTGGATTAATGAGATTTTACTGTATTAAGCATTCATAGTGAAAAAAGGCACATTTCCAAGCACCATCTCTCAAAAATATAAAAATCATTTATGTCACAGAAAATTACAGACAGTTAGTGCAAAGTTAATTGAAACAATGCTTAGATGGTGTTTGAAAAATGAAAAGAAAACTCAAGTCCCCTATACAATAGAGGTACACTTCAGCCCTTTTAAATTTAATTGCCAGCTTGTCAACTTGACATTCTTCTGATTCAGATAGCCTATGGCTGTTCCTGAAACAATAATATTACACTGGTTCAACCAAACTACTGAAACCACATTCCTGTGGTGTGGCCTGGGCTGTTGTTCCATTATGAATTCTACATTTTTGCATGCTGTTCCACCTGCTTTGGCATATCCAAGTATTCTTTCAGGAATTTTTTTTTCCTATTAAGTTTTCTGCTTGACTCTATGGACACTTCAGAAGCAACCTTCAGACTGAAAATCCCTAGCAAATCTACTTAGATTTACTTTCCTGTTTTTTGACACTCTTTTCATATGCTATCAGATTACTTTCAAACCCCTTCAGTTATTCAATTTTAGGCTAAAATAAACTTGCAGTGATGTTACAAAGAATTTGAAAGCATTTGCAGGTATTAAGGCAGGTTATTTCTTTTTAATAAATACCATAAATTCACAGTAAACTAATTGGATAAGTATTTGATGAAGAAGATTATATTGAACTATGGGGAAAATGGAGCATTTGGTTTTGGCACTATTGTTGCAAAGAGACAACGCCGACACAATAACCAAAATATCTCTTTTCGTGCTGCAGCCTTCTTTGGCTCTATAGAAAATAAACCAACTGAAAATCTATTTATGGCGCACTTCTGCGGTAGTTTCTATGAAGTAAAATGTTTCAGTTGCAAATGTTATCAATACCCAGATTAAGGTCATGGTTATCAAGCATTTGGTAAAGCAAACTGAATGAAGATAATTCTTAATATTAGATATATCTTATTGTAATTTTAAAGAATGGTCAGCTCATGTCAACAATATGTTCGTTTAGAAGACAAACAATTTAACGATAAATGGAGATGAGAAGAATAGTTACAGAGAGCAAAACATGAGGTGCAACCAAACAATAGATAAGTAGGTAAAATAATTTGTATCTGAAATGCAGTAGAGTGCTTTCAAAAACAGTCGCTTGAAAATCAACAATAAAAATTGAGGATTATCAAGATTAGTGGAGGTGATTGAAATAATTAACTCCCTACTTCAAAATCAAAGCTTTGTTATACCTCCTGCAGGTTCTGATCTTCTTGCCCCCAGGAGTTCAGGGTGTGTGCTCTTGAGTCACTTACAATGAAATTCACCTGAAAAACACAAAGTCAAAACTAAAAACGAATGTGATAAACATACGGATCTGAAGTTAATGTTAAAGTACTTTAAAAGGGTAAAAATACAGTAGATTTACAGAACATGGTTGGTATATTAAAATTCAATCTTCTTTAGAAATAATAATTATTCAAATACTGAGAACACTGTCGGCAACACATTTCATCCAAACTTAGCAGGCAGATTTACAAGAGTTGCACTGTTTCTCAGAAATAGTGATCACTGCACTTCAACACAGATTACAGTATCCCAATAAAGAATGGGCAGCACATGCCGCATCATTAAATAAATAATGGAATGCACGTTTTGAGAATAAATTATCATAATAATTGAAAATTCGGTTGATCATTTTCTTTCTCTTCGTTGGTTAATGCACGACTAAACAGGCATTCACCTTTAGGACTTCCTTTTAATCAAAAACAAGCTAAGAGGAAGAGATTATAACCCATCCCACACCATATAATCCTGAAGTTTAATTTATTTTGCAGCTGACTCCTGCAATTTGTACAAATGTTATGAAGAATTTGAAAGCATTTGCAGGTATTAAGGCAGTTCACTTCTTTTTAAAAGGGTACCATCAATTCTCAGGGACCACTACAGTAAAACAATTGGATAGGTATTTGATGCTGAAGATTATATCGCGCTACGGGGTAAACAGTGGGATTAGTTTTGCGACTACTGTTGCAAAGAGACAATACAGACACAATGGGGCAAAGTGTCTCCGTTGGTGCTGCAGCCTTCTGCAACCATAGAAAATAAACCAACTGGAAACCTATTAATGGAGCATATCTGCGTACAAAGTAAAATGTTTTAGTTGTAAAGAAACAAATTTTATCAATACTTGGATTACAGTCATGATCAAACATTTGGTAAAGACTAGTGAATAGAGACAATCCTTAAAATTATGAGCAAGAAATATCTAATATTAAAGAATGGACAACGCATGTCAATAATGTGCTAGTTTAGAAGAAAACAAAAACAATGATAAATGGAGATGAAATGAACAGTTATAGAGAATAAATCATGAGGTAACCAATTAAAGAATTATAGATAATTAAGATATTCTGATAACCAAAGCCAATGACCCTTGTACAAACTCCATCCCCCAGCCTCCGACTCCACCCTTCTGAGCAAAATGTTTTTTCAAGATAACTAGACTGCTCATACCTTAGTGTTATGCGTGACCCTAAAATAGGTTTCCACCCATGTATTTGCATCATCGCTAAGACCATCTCTTTCCACTTCCATAACATCGTTAAACTCCACTCTAGCATTGACTCATTTGCTATTAAAGCATGCGATACTTTTGTTTCCTGTAGAGCTAGCTAGTCCAACACGTTCCTAGCCAGCTACCAATCTTCCACAAATATGAGCCCCCTCAAAATTCTATTGTCTACATCCTCACTTACAGTGTCATGTTTACCCATCATCCATGCTTGCTGAGCTTGGTTCCCAGGTAAGCAATGTCTCAATTTTAAGATTCTCATCCTTGTTTATAAGTCCCTCTATGTCGTAATCCTTCTTTTCCCCATAACTACCACCATCACTACAACACTGCAAGACAACCACATTTACCCAATTCTGATCTCTTATACATTCGATTTTAAATCTCTCAACCATCGGCGCTGTGCCTTCAATTGCCTGGCTCTGGAAGTTACTCACTAATCCATTCCACCTCACCACCTCCCATAAAATACTCATTAAAGCTCAAGTCATCTGCCCTAGTGCTTTATATGACTCTGTGTCTAATTCTGCTTAATGATACTCCTGTAAAGTCCCTTGTGATATTTACTACCTCGAATCCGGGATACAAGTACAAGTTGTTGCTGCAGTTAAAAATAAGCAGGAGAGAAGAAAAACCCTGAAAAGCAACGAAGAATTAATATTTAAAAACAGGACATATCTAACAGCTAACGAACAAGAGTGCAGAGCAGGGTATGTTATCTAGTACACATTTTGTTGAAATACCTGCCAGCAAGTGTGCGGAGGATCAATTGGAATGGCATAAATGATTTGATGACTTTTAATATTGAAGAAAATGTAAAAATATCTGGCACTCCTGTGATTTATAACATCAACTAAATATGGCAATTAATAGTCATTTTAACCCAATTACAGATTTCAACATAAAAAGGACCTTCCGCATAGCACCCCTTCTGAATAAATACTAGAAACAGCGTCAGAAGCTCCTTATGCTTTCCCTTGACACTAACATGAACTTGCAAAAGAAACAGTTTGAAACACAAATTGCTGCTAAATATGAATAGCATATTGTGGAACATAATTGCTGCATTTATAGACTATTTATCTGCTACTGTTTTAGCAAAAACAAAGAGAGTTAAAAATGGTCCTCTGCAACAAATACAATAAATGCTGGAGTGGGAAACAGAGTTGATGGTTCGAGCTCTGTATGACTCTTCTCCAATTCTGAATCATACGGGATTCAAAACATTAACTCTGTTTCTCTCTCCACAGATGCTGCCAGACTTGCAGCTTCTCCACCATTTTGTTTTTTTTTTCAGATTTCCAGCACTGCAGTATTTTGCTTTTATAGGAAAATGGTCCTTGATTGTTCAAATTTGAAGTAAACATTTGTGAAATATATTTAGGATCAGTAACAGGTACTATGGTTAGATAAAGGGCCAATACTCATCAGATGAGCTCGTCAACAAGGCTGCGTATGTGTGAAATCGCAGGAGATGGGGGAAGATACTAAATGAGTATTTTGCATCATAGTTTACTGTGGAGAAGGATATACAAGGTAGAGAACTTGATAAATGTCCATGTTACAGAGGTGGTGGTGCTGGATGTCTTAAAATGCATAAATGGTGGATAAATCCCGAGGACCTTATCAGGTGTACCCTAGAACTCTCTCGGAAGCCGGGGTAGTGATTGCTGGGCCTTTTACTGAGATATTTGTGTCATTGATAGCCACAGATGAGGTGTCAGAAGACTGGAAGTTGGCTAACATAGTGCCACTACTTAAGAAAGGTGGTAAGGAGAAGCCAGTGATTATAGACAAGTGAGCCTGATACTGGTGGTGCGCAAGTTGTTGGAGAGGATCTGATGGATAGGATTTACATGTATTTGGAAAGGCTAGGACTGATTAAGGATAATCAACACAGCTTTGTGCGTGAGAAAACGTGTCTTACTAACTTGATTGAGTGTTTTGAAGTAGTAATGTAGAGAATTGTTGAAGGCAGAGCAGTGAACATGATCTATGTGGGCTTCAGTAAGGTGTTTGACAAGGTTCCTCATGGTAGGCTGGTCAGCAAAGTTAGATCACATGGAATACAGGGAGAACTAGCCATTTGGGTACAGATCTGACTCGAAGGTAGGAGACAGATGGATGGTAAAGGAGGATTGCTTTTCAGACTGCAGGCCTGTGACCAGCGGTGTGCCACAAGGATCAGTGCTGGGTCCACTCTACCTTGTATATCCTTCTCCACAGTAAACTATGATGCAAAATACTCATTTAGTATCTTCCCCCATCTCCTGCGTTTTCACACATACGCAGCCTTGTTGACGAGCTCATCTGATGAGTATTGGCCCTTTATCTAACCATAGTACCTGTTACTGATCCTAAATATATTTCACAAATGTTTACTTCAAATTTGAACAATCAAGGACCATTTTCCTATAAAAGCAAAATACTGCAGTGCTGGAAATCTGAAAAAAAAACAAAATGGTGGAGAAGCTGCAAGTCTGGCAGCATCTGTGGAGAGAGAAACAGTTATATAAATGATTTGGAAGTGAATACAGGAGATATGGATAGCAACTTTGCAGATGACATCAACATCAGGGGTGTAATGGACAGCAAAGGTTACCTCAGAGTATATCGGTACCTTGATCAGAACCTTGAACAGCTCAGTGGTTAGCACTGCTGCCTCACAGCACCATGCACCCGGTTCAATTCCAGCCTTGGGCAACTGTCTGTGTGGAGTTTGCACGTTCTCCCCGTGTCTGCATGGGTTTCCTCCAGGTGTTCCAGTTTCCAGCCACAGTCCAAAGATGTGCAGGTTAGGTGGAGTGGCCATGCTAAATTGTCCATAGTGACCAATGTGTAGGCTAGGTGGATTAGCCATTACATTAGGGTTACAGGGATTGGGGGCTGGGGAAAGAGTATGTCTGCGTGGGATGCTCTTTGGAGAGTAGGTGTGGACTTGTAGGGCCAAATGGCCCGTTTCCACACTGAAAGGACTCTTAGGAAAAAAAAAACAAATATGGGCTGAGGAGTCACCAATGGAGTTAATTAATTTAGATAAATGTGAGGCGCTGCATTTGGGAAAGGCAAATCAATTAATGGTAAGGTCCTGGGGAATGTTGCTGAACAGAGAGACCTTGGAGTGCAGGTTCACAGCTCCTTGAAAGTGGAGTCCCAATAGGTAAGATAGTGAAAAAGGCATTTGGTAAGCTTGCCTTTATTAGTCAATGCATTGAGCATAGGAGTTCGGAGGTCATGTTGTGGCTGTACAGGACATGGGTTCGGCCAATTTTGGATATTACGTTCAATTCTGGTCACCCTGCTATAAGAAAGATGTTGCAAAACTTGAAAGGATTCAGAAAAGATTTACATGGATGTTGCCACAGTTGGAGGGTTTGAGCTATAGGGAAAGGCTGAATAGGCTGGGGCTATTTTCCCTGGAGCATCGGAGGCTGAGGGGTGACTTTATAGAGGTTTATAAAATCATGAGGGGCATTGATAGGCTGAATAGCTAAGGTCTTTTCCCCAGGGTAGGGGAGTCCAAAACTAGAGGGCATATGTTTAAGGTGAGAGGGGAAAGATTTAAAAGGGATCTAAGGGGCAACTTTTTCACATTTAGGGTGGTGCGTATATGGAATGAGCTGCCAGAGGAAGTGGAGGAGGCCGGTACAATTACAACATTTAAAAGGCATCTGGATGGGCATATGAATAGGAAGGGTTTAGAGGGATATGGGCCAAATGCTGGCAAATGGGACTAGATTAATTTAGGATATCTGGTGGGCATGGACAAGTCAGACTGAAGGGCCTGTTTCCGTGCTGTATATCTCGATGACTCTACACGCTGAGCAAACTACTCAGTTGCACCAAAGGAAGTGCTGCTGAGTGGTTCAGGGCAATTCTCTGCCGCCACCACCACCACCTCCTCCTCACACAAACCAGGGATCGGTAACGAATGTCTGCTTGCTGGTAACATCCACTAAAGCCAGTTAGGTAGTTACTACTCTGCTGGAATTTCCACCACATCTATACACACGTTGATTATAACCCAAACTGTAGTGCTGTAACAAACACTTTTCAACTGCTGCTGGCTGCATTTTCTATTATACAGGCAGAATGAATAGTCATTCGCCATGGCATCGTTCACAGAAATCAAAGCACTGATCCTTTAGTTTTAAGTGAAGGGAAAGCTGAAGATGGCACTATTGTGTTACACTGTGCAGTGATTCACCCAAACATCCCGTTTCTCTAAAGGACCAGAATATCATTAACTATGAACATATAGTTAAAATAACGAACAAAAACTGGAAATGCTCAGCAGGTCTAGCAGCATCCGTGAAGAACTCAATTCTGAGGAAGAGTCACCGGACCCGAATCATTAACTCTGATTTTTTCTTTGCAGATGCTGCCAGAGCTGAGCTTTTCCAGCAACTTCTGTTTTTGTTCCTGATTTACAGCATCCGCGGTTCCTTCAGTTTTTATGTAGTAAAAATAAAGCTTCAGATTACAAATCAAATCTTTCTCTGTGCTCATAAATCTTCCCTAAGCCTTCTGGAAACCTTGAGATGGATAACATGTAGGGCGTTTTTTTTTTTAAATATTTGATCTTAAAGCTGTTTTATGTACTTTCCAGAACAACATCAAGAGTTACATCCAGCTGATGCAAGTAGTAGCCAATGATCACAATGGAAAAGTACTACCATTCTCAGGTCAAATTTCACACTTTTAAAAAAACGAAAAACAATTGGAGGAAAGCATAATTCCATAATGAAAATTCAACTGAATTCATATTTACTCTGTAATTACATTTGCCTGCTAGTTACAAACAAACAATAAAATTGGGGTGAAATTGGACATGAGTGGGTATGCAATATGGACAGCTTTGCTCTGGTCTCCAATTACAATTCACCCCAGGCTCCATCTTCACCCTCGATCAATTCTACCGACTTCAACAGGACCGGCATGTCAGAGATACTATATCACAGGCAGCAAATGCAATTCCACACAGGTCCAATTGAACTCCAAAGAATTCTCCCTTAGGAGACCATCTGATTCTAAATTACAATAAAAGCATTAGACTCTCCTCCAGAGTCTAGAGTATTGTTTTTCCATTGTTAGTTAATCTATTTCAATTCTAGCATATAGCAACAAAAAAATGCATCTCAAAAGCACATTTGTTTTTTACTTACCCTGGTTGCACCCATTAATTGCTTTGGAGCAACTGTTAGCAGCCTTTGGTCACCAGATGTTGACGTCATGCTGCTTAATGTTGCTGGCTGAGATACACAGGGAAATTAAATAGAACAACATATTTTATATACGGTTTACAATATATATTAAAAATGGAATGTCAACACTCCAGGAACCACACATTTCCCATTCTATATTTCATACAATCATTGAGCACAGAAGAACACCATTCAGCACACTGTGCCTGCGCAGATCTTTTGAAATATCAAATCAATTAGACCCTCACCCTGTACTTTCCCTATAGCCCTTCAATTTATTTGCCTAGAATATCTATATTCTGCAAGTTATTACCAAACCTGCTCCTACCTCCCTTTCAGGCAGTTCAGCCTAGATCACAACCTGCAGCATTAAAAGATCGCAATCTTTTGCCAATTATCTTGAGGTTGCTTTAAACCCATCTTCCATTTGGAAACTTTTGTTTATTTGATCAAAACCTACCACAGTAATGAATATTTCTACTAAATACCTTTAATTCTCAGTCTAAAGAAACTAATTCCAGCTTTTTTTTTTGTCTCTTAACGGTTAAAACCATTTTCCTTGAAGTGAACACCTCATAACAGGAGGTATTGTGAGAACCCAAATTTGACTCATAATCCAGCAGAGAGTTTGAATTTGGCACATAAATGACATCTTGTAGCCTGGTATGAAGCAACACTTGAAGCTATAATCATCCAATAGTTTTGTGCTTTTATAATGATCCTGCGTTAATAAAAACACATCTTTGACTTATTAGCAGCATTGCTGCTGAGGAGGAAATATGTTTAACCTATTTTAGAAGGTTCAAAAAACTCATTGATTAACAACAAAAACATATTTTCATCAAGTAAATAACTGAGCTAAACAGAATTGAAAGCATAAAGAAAAAAGCATCACAGATCATCTACTTCCAATAGCAGTGAGTACCATTGCTTTGTACTACATGCCCTCTCCAGTGTTAATCGTGGCTTAATTTAATTTCTACTTCCAACTATTTAAATCACTTATTTGTATGTAAGGAAGATTAAAGTTAAAACTCAATATCTATTAATGCATTAAGTATCAAGCTGAGAGTTTTAGTAGGGTGCTTGTTTGTATAATTAACTCCAGTACACCAGTATATTTTTAGTGGCTGACCATTCATTACAGGCCCCTAGCCAACATAGAACATTATAAGAATCTTGCCGAAAGTGGACATTTTGCTCCATTCAGAGCTCACTATTTACCCCGTCTAGTGCCTATCCAAATTCAGAGCTCAAATTCTTGCCCTTCTTTGTCCCAGTATTCACTGTCTATTTGCTCCTAGGACCTGTCCTAACTCTGGTGTAAACTTGGCAAATCCTTCTCTACATGCACTCAGGAGCCCAGCTCTCTGATTCTGCCCTCATCCCACCTTCTGACCCCGAAGTCCCTTTCCCAGTTTTCCACGATCCCCACCCACCACTTACACCCACATCACCTGCCGAACACAGACAACAGTCCATAGCCTCTCATTCTCTCTTCCCTTCAAACATGCATCCAGTGTTTTTCAGTCTATTTCCCCCATCAACTCTGGGGGACCCTTCACGCATCCCTAATCAGGACCTCGTCACCGTTTCCTCTGCCCCCCTCAATTCTGCCTTCACCTCTCTGAACTACCATGCCCCTCACTGAGCCAAAAATCACTCACTCTGCCTCCCTCCTCAACCCCCACCCCATTCTGACACCCCATCACTTGGAACCCCCCCCCCCCCCTCCCCCCCCCCCCCCTCCCTTGGAACCCCCCCCCCCCACACTCTCCCCCCCCCCGTCACTTGGAACACCCCCCCCTCATTCTGACCCTCCCCGTCACTTGG